AAAAAAAAGAGGGGGAAAAAAAAAAGAGGGGGAAAAAAAAAAGAGGGGGAAAAAAAAAAGAAAAAAAGAGGGGGAAAAAAAAAGAGGGGGGAAAAAAAAAGAGGGGGGAAAAAAAAAGAGGGGAAAAAAAAAGAGGGGGAAAAAAAAAAGAGGGGGAAAAAAAAAAGAGGGGGAAAAAAAGGGGGAAAAAAGAGGGAAATATATATGATATATTCGGATTGGGTAGGTACAGCCAGCCTCAACTGCCATCGCCATCCTTTTGGAGGCTTAGAACAGTACCGGAAAAAAAGCAAAAGTAATAATGGAAAAAGCAAATAAATTTGAATCACTGCCGATGTGCAGCCTCACACACCGCGATTTTGTAGGCTTTGAAACAGTGATGTAATTCGGATTAGGGAGGTACTGTGACAGCCAGCCTCAACTGTCAACTATTTTAGGCTTGGAACAGTACCGAGGAACATAATAGGACAAGCACAAAATATCAAAATTACATACCATTTTCTTCAGTTTGGTTTTTTTAAATCCATATTTACTTGAATCTTTCTTCGGCAGCATGCTGGAACTTCTACATACCACCGAGTGGTACGCGCAGTATCTTGCACCGCAATGGCTCCATCGATGTGGCACCTACGGCGGCAACGGGATTGGTTGCCCCTTCGAGGCAAATCCTGCTCTGAAAAGAGCACCTTTTCCGCCAGCGATACTTGTTCTCTTGGCTGAATGCGACTAAACTCCATAAAGTTGCCGGAGATGGTCGTCGGTCAAGGTGGAACTGTGGAAGTTGTGTTCGGAACGGCTACTCGAAGCACTATGAAATAATTGTTTTTTCTACTGGGATTTTATAACTTCTCCCTACCTATATGCGTGTTTTCATTAGCCGCGCCCTCAATCTAATCGTGGTACGCAGATTGGTAATTCTCAAAGCGTATATAAGTCTCGCTCAAGGTATTTTCGTTCAGTTATGATTATGTCTCACGTAATGACGTAAAGACAACGAAGAAGATAAGGTCGATCTGCTGTTTCCTGGCCCTGCGCTTTCTAAGAACAGGTAGACCTGGACACTTTAAGTAATAAATAGGACTCTTGAGTACGTCTTCACATCCTACATTACTAAACGCCATGATTTAGTATCATCGTTCGACGGCGGCCCAGGTAGTGATCATCCTTTTATGGGCTAATGCAATTAGAAATCTGCTTTTTTCAAAGTGAGCTTTTCGTTTCATTAAGGAAAATTGGACACCCCTAATCTTTGCTCGAGTTGCGAGACCGGTCGTTGATCTCTCCATTATTCGGGGTTGTTCCGCAAGGTGATGCATTATTAAATTCGCCAACTAAGCACACATGAATATTGTTATGAAATACCATCACAGCCACACTACACCTCGCAGACAAACTGGGTTTAAATATCTCCTTTTGATAAACTAGAGATAATTTGCGGTTCATTCATCTACAATTCTATACGATACGATGCTAAATACGCGATGAGATGTACACCAATTGACCAAGGTATTTTTAAATTTACTTTGTGACAGCAGTTCAGTTTCTTGTACAGAAAGGTAGCTGTCTGAGAAATTGGAGACCGCTGAGATCGTAAAGCTACACCTAACCATTGGAAACTGTCAACCGGACACTGAATAAAAATAGTGTTTTTAATCAATTATATAACACAATAATTTACCTGCAAATTAGAGTTCGGCGACGGATTTGGGACTCCAAATGTAATTCAAAATAATGCACATTGAATAAATCGTGATTGAACTAGAAAGAATGTCGGTTTCAATTTCAAGACGTATGCACATTGAACAATCTACCGGATGTCGACTGAGAGACAAGACTGTATGAGTCAGCTGGAATGTGACCTATTAACTTGGCGATAGTCTAGTCGGCTTCAATCTTTGCCAGTCTGCTCGTAATTTTCACGCAAGTTCATCAATAGGTAGGTACACTAGGTACGATAATACTAGGTACACTCTCGTAGAGTCTAGGCTAGATGCTCTAGCTAGAGATATACCGCTCCTTGTACAAATTTTGCATTCTCAAACTTGGCTGCAATTATTGCAATATAGACACTATAGTCGGCTCTATCCGCAGAGGCAAGAAGCGATATTATAAAACCTTATGGACTTTGCCTTTTACCTACTTACCGTTTATCCTTTGTATCGCCACTCGATATTGGTTTTGGTGTGACTGTGGAAAAAACACAATCTTGAAGTAGGGTTGCCATCTTTTACAATTAAAAATAGAGCACCCATCCCCAACAAGGCAGTTTTTGCGACCAGCTATTTTTGTTGTGGGAATCTAGTACATAACAAAAATTACTGTAGGTACCTAGTCTAGTCTATGTTCAAGCATCTTATTTCTTACGGTAAATCGTGCTAACGCGCTTGTCTTCGGTAGTACTCGGATAATTCAAATATTTGAGTTTATCCTGACGTTCGATTCGTTTATTTACAATAATTATTGACACTTTGTTGGTTATTATTAATTTGAAATGCACGTTACTCTTACTGACAGATGACATACAATCATCATACAATGACAGAATTCGTGACGCGCTAATGCGCAAGCTGGCACTTGCCACTAAGGAACTATAAATCGTAAATCATGACATTTACGGTAAAGTTAAACCATTGAGTTAGAAAACTAATGGAGGGAATATAATGTTAGAGGGGGTAAGAATTTTTGTAGACGGAAGATTATTTTTTTATTTTATTTTATTATCCCTCTCTTGTTTTGGGCCCTCAACAGGCATGCGCCCAATTACAGAGTGACCCGCATAATGACACAGATTTGCCACAGACAGAGACCACTCGCGTGGATAGGTTCCCGTGAAGGTACGTTTTGGCCGACATTATTTGACATATGAAAACGCGGGTCCTGTCACTGTCAGTTTTCCATCAAACTAAAATTTTATTAAATTTGCCATTTTAAAGTACCTAATAATTTCGGATCGGTTTGTGCTCTGGTTTATATAAATAACTAACTGCCGCATGGTGTTTTTATCACACGCAATTTTCTGAATTGAGAATGATTAGCTGCGTATCATGCAAAATTTCTCATAAAGGGAAGAAACAGGGCATTTCCTTTCATCAGTAAGACATGTCATTTATCATGTTGTAGGCGAGGTTGTAGGTACCTAGTTTATGTTTCTTAGTTTTCCAAACCAACCAGTACTTCGAGCAAAATGGTTACCTAACATTTGTAAATATAGGTATCTTAAGAACAGCTCTCGAAATTTGCTTTTGTGCTCACAACGCTTCATTGACTGTGATTTCGACCAAAGGTTGCACCGGAAAATGTTCATCAAATATGCAGTAGGTACTATCAAAACTTGTTTTTACAGCTAAACGTGTGAGTTTATAATATGGATATCAGGCGTAAGTTTTTTTTACGAGTGCGGATACATTTTGAGACCAATAAACAATAAATTATTATTGAATCTCTCTGCCGTTGTAATGAACCTGAGACCAACCAGTCAATTGTAGCTATTCATCAACACTGTGAATTTAATGGGAGTTGTCAAGTTGTGGTGGCTATAGTAAAGTGGCGTTAATTATACTACTGGAACACATCGATGTATATTTAGATTTGTAATCAACAGTGGCGGATTTGTAGTCCAGGCCGCCCTAGGCCCCAGGCCACGTCGCCGCCTCTGTCTTAGTACAAATCATATAGACTACATAATGAATTTACTTTATTGCCAATTTTTAAAGTCGATTCAGAAATTTTAATTTAGTTAACTCTTGATTATAACAGCTGGTAACTGCTATAATAGACTCTAGCAGTGAGCAACGACTTTTCACTTTAGAATATTCAGGTACGTACTCTGAGTTTGAGTTAGTTTTTGTTATCATTAGTGACGATTGGCCGCCCCTAATCTCTGGCCGCCCTAGGCCCGGGCCTACTGTGCCTTGTGGAAAATCCGCCACTGGTAATCAATGATTATATTAAATCTGCATACTTTCCCATCCTTGTCTATTTTGT